GTTCTTCCAGCTTTCCTGCCTTCTCGTTTTTGCTTTTGGGCTGGTGTGCCCATTTAGTCTTGTATATATGGTTGAACTACCTGTGCTATTGTTTGTTTTATAGGTCCTTCTAATCTTTGGCTGAAGGGTGAACTTGAGGAGTGACTTCAGTACTTAGTTAAAAGGTGTCCAGGAACCCTGGGGTTTCTCCAGTCTCCATCAGAACAGTAAGTCTGGTCTTCTTTTGTGAGTTTGAATTTTGCCCTGTATTTTTCTCCAGCTCTGTCTGGGACCCTGTACTGTGATCCCTGTTGGAAAACTTTTACTTTCCGGATAAAAGGAATAGCCAGGCTTGAGAACCCTGTTTTTCCCCTCTTCCTGCTTTGAAAGAGGCTGTGGTGACCATCTTGTGACCATGAGGTGCTTAGCATGAGCAGTGATTCCCAAATCACCTGGAGGGCTTCTTAAAACCCAGATTGCTGGTCCCTATTCCCCGAGATTCTGATTCAGTAGGTCTGGGGTGGGCCTGAGAATTTGCCTATGTAATAAGTTGCCAGGTGATGCTGATGCTGATAGTCTGGGGACCATACTTTGAGAACAACTGAACATAAAGATGAAAATCCAATAGGCTGAGGATAATATAAAGCTCTGGGTGCTGATGGTCTTGTCAAGTAGCTGAATCAGTGTCAGTAACTGACCTACCTCTGGATTTCTTGTTCTGTGGGAAAATAAATCACTATTTGTTTAAGCCACAGTTAGTTGGATTTCTTATGACGTACTTTAATAAACATTCTGAATTTAAAGACAACTGGACTCAGGGGAATGGGGAGCGCAGAAGGAGAAAAGACCAGAGGAATGCTTATCTGAAGCTGACTCAGTATGGAGTAAAAACTGCCTCAGCAGGAAATGTTTTGCATCATTTCCTAGTGCAACTATACCAACATCCATTTCTATGGGTTTCGGTTGATAACAGTTAGATTGCATGCTTTCATATTAAGTTAATTTTTAATTGTTTATCAAAGTAAAACATGTATGGTTTTAAAAGTCAAATAGTTCTACAAGGCTTATAGTGACGAACAGTAAGCCCTGCCTCACCCCTGCTCACTCTGGCCCCCATTCCTCTGAGATAACCGCTTTCAACTCTTGTAGCTATTTCTTCTGGAATTTGCAAGTTTACCTCTACTTCTAAATGTCATGCTTAATATTACCATTATTTACCTTTCCAGCTTTGCTTTTTTACTTCCTACTATGGAAGATGAGGACTTAGATTTCTTTAAAGACACTCCCACACATACTTGGTCTCCCACATTTTTCCAGTATAGTTAAATGACAATCTTTTTTGTTAATGTTCAATGTTTATAATATTGTGACTGTAAATGTTATGCAGGGGCTAGTGGTGGTTCAGGTAGAATTTTCGCCTTCTGTATGGGAGACCTGGGTTCAACCCCTGGCCAGTGCACCTCAGTGCAACCACCTCCTACCTGTCACTAGAGACTTGCGTGTTACTATGATGCTCAACAGGTTTCAGTGAAGCCTTCAGACTAAGACAGACTAGGGAAAAAGGTCCAGTGATCTACTTCTTAAAACCACCAGTGAAAACCCTAGGGATCACAGTGGTTCGATCCCGTTGTACAAGGGGTTGCCATGAGTTGAGGGTGATAGACAGCAGCTAACAACAACGAATGTTATTCACAGCTGATTCTTGTATTCACTTATTCCATTACTTTCTGGTTAAACTTTTTGTTTTCCTTGAAGTCAATAATTGCTCCATTTTTTATTTGCTTAATAATCTATGAATCTATGATTAATTCATCCCCAATTCTCTGCCAGAAGATAATTCCTTCTTAATAAGGCCAAACACATCAGCTAATTACAAATTTCATTTTTTCTCCGCACTTTCCACTCTAAAACTCGTCCTACTGCTCCAATCTGTACCAGGCATTTTGCTGCATAACGGTCATCGCGGAATTTCGCTTCACCATCATACTGGGAAAAGCCTTTATCCTTCTCCTGTGTTGAGTACCCTGGATTTTGTGTTTTCCTCTTTCTTGATTTACTGTCTCATTTTTGAGAAAGCATGCATGGAAGATGAGTCGGTCAGGATTGCAACAGGAAGCATATGGTCAATGCAAAAGAGGCAATTGAGAGAGTTTAATGAAGGTACTGTTTTATAAAGTGTGGGTAGGGTTAAAGAAAACCAGCAAGGGACATTAAACAGAAAGCTGTTATCTCCACAGTCTGAAAAGGCAAGGGGAGAGAGTATTATCAGAACTTGGTAAGAACCATAGCTGTAGGAGATGGCCACCAGCAGGCAATCTGGCTGTCACTTGAGGAATGCAGTGGCTTTGCCAGGCAGAGAGAGAGCAGAGGAAATAATAACTCAGCTCTCTCTCCTCCTGCCCTCTGGTTTCCTGCTTGTGCCTCTTATTGACTGAATCCAACCAGAAGCCAATATGCAGGGGAGACGAGTTGATTCCACCCATAGAAGTTGGCTCTCCGGGCACAGAGCAGGATGGAGAACATTGGGCAGTGGATCTTAGGATCTTGTCTTTTCCCCCAGAGTTCTGCTATTTAAAGATGATATGCTTTGGTAGGAGGGGATTTTCTATCATTATGCTATGGGGATCCCTGGAGTAGGACTTAGCCTGGTATACTTGTGGAGTCCCTCCTATGCCCTGAAAATGTAGGAAATGCTGATACAGGTGCCTGCTCTCCTGCATCATTACATTGTTGCAATGCAACTCTTCATGGATGATGCCTGGTCATTATTATATACCTGTGGACAATGGAGGAGTTGTTGGGTGGTACAAAAGGTTAACATACTCGGCTGTAAACCAAAACATTGGTAGTTTCAGTCCACCCAAAGGTACTTCAGAAGAAAGGTTTGGCAAGCTACTTCTGAAAAATCAGCCACTGAAAATCCTATGGAGCATAGTTCTACTCTGACACACAAGCTCCTCAGGTTCCTGGAATTGGGCCTGAGCCCCTATGGTTAGAGGAAGAGGTTCAAAAGCCAACCAAACTGTCTTCAAGAAAGACTTTGTGAGATTTCACAGGTACTTTTAATATTATAATTATTCCCATTTTATAGATGAAATAACTGAGGCACAGAGAGGTTAGATAACCTGCTCAAAGTCACAAAGAAGTAAGTGGTGGAGCTGAGGATTTAAGCCCAGTCATTCTGGCTCCATAATCTGTGTGCTTAACCAGAAGGCTATGCTGTTTCTCACTAATGGAAAAATTTGAGAAGCACTGTTACAGGTGACAGAAAGCCACTGAAGGATTTTAAACTGAAGAGTGTGATTCAGTCAGCTTTGCCATTTAGAACGTTCTCTCTAACGAGGGTGGTGGTGCGAGGCATCAGTTTAACTAGGGTTAGATTAAGGCAGGAAGGCTATTTGCACAGTAAAGGTGTGAAGATGAGAAGGACTTGAACTAAGGCACAATCACCACAATTAACTGGATAATCTTGAGCCCCTGTTTCATCAACTGAAAAATACATATGGTAATATCTATCTTGATGGGTTATTCTGAGGATTATAGGAGATAACATAAACAAACTCCCTGACAATATAAGGCTCTACAATCACAGAGATCTAGGTCAAAATCCTAGCTTTGCTGCTTACTGGATGAGAGAGTTGTTTATTAATATCTTTCAGTTTCAGTTTGCTCATTTATAATATGGGTACTAAAGTAAGTTAAAGTAAGAAAAATTATTACAAACTGGTTGCAGGTTGAGAGAATTTGCTTACGAGGAAGGTACAATTCCTTCTAGAGAAAGAACTGAGTTATTATTATTATTATTTTTTAGGAAAAACACCTTAATGAACTTGTGTGTTTATGAAAGGCAAGTATCTTTGGGAATAGCTAGAAGGGAAGATGTTTAGGTGGAGAAGAATTAAATTGTTCTGCTTAGTAAAGTAATAGAAAATTTTAGGTTTCCTCTGATGAGAAGGAGATTTTGAGGGGATCTTGATCTTGGGAGAAAGTAAAAGGATGGAGAATAGAGCTTTACAAGAGATAACTCTGAACATCCATTCTTGCCAGCTTCCATGATCCATTCTTCCCATGGCAGCCAGAGTGAGCTTACAAAACTGAAAATTTGATCATGTTGTTCTCCCCTCCCCAGGAAGTGTCTGATACTTAGAAGTTTTTTGGTAACAATTTGCTGAGTGAATGAACAAATGAATGCGTGAATGAATATATGAGCCAGATGGCAGCTGGATCCCTGAAGAAAAGGACAGTCACTGAGAAATTCTCTATAGCAGGGATGGCTTTGGACAATTATGTTTAATATTCATTTTTAAGTGGTTGCCTATTCTGTGCTATGCTGTAAGCCTCCCCCCACCCCCACCCAAATAACCTTTAATAAAAGTCTGCTACACAAAACTGCACTTTTACTGGGGGAATTTAAGGAAAGAAAGAGTCTAGAACCAGGCAAAACAATGTCCAAAAATGGCAGTAGCCACAAGAGGAAAGCTAATTGATAGGGGGACTCAGAATTCAGTTGGAGCAGGCATTTTAAGGGAGAGGTGACCAGAATCCTCTGAAATTTTGGGGAGGGTGTGACGTTCCCTTATTCTGGGTTAGGGGCTTGGGCGCTTCTAAAGGGAAGAATAAGCTGGAGGACTTTGGGATACATAAGGATGATATATCAAGTAACTTCAGGTTATATAAGGACGGTAAATAAGTACTTAACTCATAAAGTTGTGAGGATTAATTGGGATAATTCGTGTAAAGCGCTTAACGGAGTGCCTGGCACAAAGTAAGAGCTCAGTAATTGTTAGTTGTTGTTTTCCCTCACTTTCTTCTACTCCCAATACTCCCTACCAGGCTCCATTCATTCTTTTCCAAGGACATGCAGGGGGCGTGTCCACTCCTCCCTCCTCCCCCATGCCAAGCCCCGCCCCTCACTCCTCCCGGGATTGGTCCCTGAGAGGCGGAGTTGAGGGAAGAGCCCAGTACGAAGCGGTGGGGGCGGGGCGCATGCGCGGGCTGAGCCGGGTGGAGGTGGGGAGGAAGAGCTGCCGGAAGTAGGCGGCGGAGGTGGTGGCCGAGCAGGCGACAGCTCGCAGGGAAACCGAGGCGCGGGACGCACGGCCCGCAGATAGGCAAGCCAGTGGGCTATCTCTGCGTCCTGCACTCAGGAGGACCTAGTGCTCCCTTTGCCAGGGCTGAGGGGCCCTGGTCCAGCAGCCTCCTCTGGACTCTGGCCTTTCCTTAAGCCCGCCAGGGGGCGCCGCACTGAGGGACTGCAGAGTGGGGGTCCGGCGGCGCTGACCAAAGAAGAGGCTCCGGACCGGGCCCGAGGAGAGGGCTCTCCCCCGCTCAGGAGGTGCCCCTGGGCGGGGGACAGGGAGTCCTCACACCCGGACTGAGTCAGGGGCATCTGGGGGCGAGGAGGGCGCATAGCCCCTCTGCCTCCACCGGCACCCTGGCCATGACAGGCAAGTCGGTGAAGGACGTGGATCGGTACCAGGCGGTCCTGGCCAACCTGCTGCTGGAAGAGGATAACAAATTTTGTGCAGACTGCCAGTCTAAAGGTAGCGTATCTCTCCCGGAGAGCGAGGGGTCCAGCTTCCGGGCCCCGCCGTGGGGGTGGCCTGTGTAGGGAGGGGACTTCTGGAGCTTAGGCTGCCCAAATCATCTTTAAATAGTAACGCGTGCTCCTCTTGCTTATGAGCTGCTAGGTTGTCTACAGCTCGGGGACTGGCGTGGGAAGAGGTTGCGAGGGCGAGAGTGTGTGTGGGGTTGGGGAGGGTGGTGGTGGAAGTGGAAGTGGCGTGGAGTGTGCCGGTCAGAATGTCAGTATTTCAGGGCTCTGAATGAGTTCTGTCAGTTGAAAGGTAGCCCAGAGCTCTCAGCCGCTCACTTGCAAACCTAGTGATGAACTGCAGTGTGCGTGTGCGTGTGTGTGTGTGTGTGTGTGTGTGTGTGAGAGAGAGAGAGAGAGAGAGCACGAAGGAGGGAGGGGGAGGAGGCAAGTGAGATGACGAGGACAAAAACTGCTTAAATGATCTTTAAAGGTGGTGATTGTTGCTGCCTTGCTCTTTGGTTAGCAGCTACTTCTATCTTTTACAGCCTTGCTGATATCTGACACAGTGCTTAGATGGCTTTCTTCCTGGATGTGTCAGTGGGAAACTGCCTCATGCAGTGACAGAGTGCGGATTTCTAGACAGCCTAGCCCTGCCTTGTGGAGTGCGTTGGAGGCTAATGTGTATGTGGTGGCAGAAACTAGCAGATTTGGACTGTAGCGCAGGATCCGTTTTATCAGTGAAGAGAAGGCAGCAAGAGATGCACTGAATTTGTTGCTTCCTGGTGGTTACACTTCTAAGGGTGAAATGTGATCTTTGTAAATTGGAAGAACCATTTAGCCTTTGTTTTCTGTGCCCCAGAAGATTAATAGTTTGATACAATGAAAAATCAATATGATAGGAAAACTTGGTTATTAGTGAAATGTCTGCACTCAAAATTTATAGATAAAAGCTTCTATAAATATTTTGTTTCCTATTTTCTTTCTGAATTCTTTGGTATAAAATTGGAGAGTTGGGAAAATTCTTTTCCCTTTGGTTGAGGAGAAAGGGAGAGTTATATTTTGGAGACTATTGTTATTTTACTTTTGTTCATAATGCAGTGGCTTTGCCAGGGTTGTGTTTGCCATAGAGCATATTGGACATAAAGTGTAAAACAAAGATTCAAATGTATTTGTATTTGTCTGTGTTGAGAAAGGGGATACATACTTGATGATTTCATATGACTACCTTTTATTTTAGAAAAATAAGGTTATGTAAGAAGAACAGGAGAGTGATACATTGATTTAGACACCTGGTAGTATATTTTAGTGACCTCTACCAATAGGTAAATGGCATGTGCTCGCAGTAGGAAAGAAGTCTCCAAGACTTCTTTTAGGAATTTTTGCATTAGCAAGAATTCATTTTAAAAAGTACTGTAGAGTCAGTTTATGTTGAGCAGGTTAATTTCTTATAGTTGATTCTTGTTAGATCTTGTTCTATATCTATTGGAAAACCCATTTTAAAATTTAGTTGTGTACTTGCTTTACTCATAGTCCCTATGTCCTGAAGTTGACAGTCATAGTGAAGCAACCCAGTGGAGTGAGCATTGCTACATTTGGGAAGTCAGATGCCATTTTGATGATTAATGACCCCCACCCCTTCTCATACCACTCTCATGCTTACTCATATTCCGATAAAATCTAGCATGTGGAAGAGAGAGGTTAATTCACCACTTCCTCCGAATTTTCCATTGCTCTTTATCAATAGCATTACCCAGGTAATGAAACATTAGTTAATTGTTAATGGGAGCTAGTAGCTGCTGACTTGTAAACTTTATTAAGTTTATTTATCATTAACTGATGATGATGATAGTATCCTGGTCCCTGAAACAATTTCTTTTCAAAAGTTAGTTTTAAATTTTAGCTTCGTTGCTTCAGTGACTTGGCCAGTGTGTTACAAATGAGATGACAGTGTATCAGTGATCTTTCAGTTTAGTTAAATAAGACAGTTGTTGACGTCTCCGGTTTGTCCAGTTTATGAATTATCTAGCCTTCTTCCACTCTTTCAAACCCTCTCACTTATGCCCCCCACCTTTTTTTCTAATTTTTGTTGTTGCAGTGACCATGTGAACAACTATCAGATCATGGAAATAAGAGACACTTATATTGGTAGATTAAGTTACCTGTTAGGTCTGATAAATACATTTATTTGGGGGAAGAATTAAAAAAAACTGTTGGCTAAAATGAGGTTTAGGTTTGAGGTTTTTATCTGTATTTATCATGTCCTTTATTACTTAGATAATTGAGATCTATTGTATAGGACCTGGTGAGGGATTGCTAGTCCATTAATATTAAATCAGATGATGTAGCCCTGGGCTACAGACCTATGGGCAGGTGTTTTTGTAAAGTTCTAAGGTAACTCTTTGACAGTGACTCTTCTTTTAAAAATGTTATATTTAAGAACGATTTTTTCTTTATTAATTGGTGCAGTGGTTAAGAGGTACGGCTGCTAACCAAAGAGGTCAGCAGTTCGAATCCACCAGCAGCTCCTTGGAAACCCTATGCGGCAGTTCTAATCTGTCCTAAAGGGTCTCTCACTATGAGGCGGAATAGACTCAACAGTAGCGGGTTTGTTTTGGGTTTTTAATTTGAACATCTGAATCCAGAACAAACATGTATTCTCTTTATAGTTAGAAGTTTTGTTGTTTCTGGGGTTTTTAATTCTCTTGAGCACAATCATCAGTTTCTGGGACCTCTGAGCCATTAGAGTGATTCTAGCGTGGGAAAGGAAGCTGCTTTGATGCTGCCTTTTTAAAAATGCTGTCACTTGCTCTAGGTGCACAGATACGATTTCTTCATCACCCAAAGACCTCAAGTTAATATGACCTTCGAGGTAAATTTTTGGACTGATTTAAGTAATGATAGAATAGAGTATAAATATATTAAAAATTCTAGAAATGTCAACATGACTCTGGCTAGTTAAGGTCAAATTCCATTTTTGGGTAGACCTTTAGTGGGGTCATACTGGTCCAAGGTTTGGTATTTAGCTCTGCAGTTCCAGATTTTGTCAGTGTGCTTGGAATAACTCGTTAACAACCTCTTCAGAGACTAGGTTAAACTAGCCACTATCTTACTTACCATGAAGGGATCTACTTGTCTAGATCTGAATACTTCTGTCCACTATTGGGATACTCTTTTCTTGCTGTCAGCGTTTGTGAGAAATTGAGAGTTGTTTGGTGAACAAAACATTAGAATGGAAGAAATTTGATGGTTTTGAGGAATATTTGCTTCAGACTATGAAACACCACATGGAATTCTTGAGGCTGACAGAAACTTTGTAACAGTTGTTTACTTGTTGCTTATTCTACTACATCCCATCTCTGACATATTTCACCTCAAATTACCTAACCTCTGCCTTTGTTCCAATCTCCATTATATATTTTTAAATTTAAACTTATTTTTTGATAAGATAGTACTTTCGTGCGGTTCAAAATTCAGAAGGTCCTGTCTTAGTTACCTAGTGCTGCTACAACAGAAATACCACAATTGGGTGGCTTTAACAAACAGAAGTTACTTTTCTCACAGTTTAGGGGCCCAGAAGTCCAAATTCAGGCTGCGGGCTCTAGGAGAAGGCTTTCTCTGTCAGCTCTGGAGGAAGATCCTTGTCTCTTTTCAGCTTTTGTTCCTCAGTTCCTTGGAGATCTCTCTGTGTCTTGGCATCTGTTTTACCCCATCTCTCTTTTGCTCACTTGTTTAATCTCTTTTGTATCTCAAAAGAGATTGATTTAAAATACACCCTACACTTATCCTACCTCATTAACATGACAAAGACAACCCATTTCCAAATGGAATTCTAACCACAGGCATAGGGGTTAGGATTTACAACACATAATTTGGGGGGACATAATTCAATCCGTAACAGGTCCAAAAGGGAATATGTACAGTGAAAAGTTGTGTTCCTGACCCTGATCCCTTAGCCACCATTTCCTTTCCCTGGAAGTAACTAATGTTGGTAGTATTTTTTACTTGTAGGAGATAATCTATGCCTAGATAAACAACTACATTTAAATATATTCCTTTGCAGTGCTTTTATGCAAATAGCAGCATACTACCCATAGTTCTTGATATCTTGTGTTTTCAATCAACAGTGTAACGTGGAGAGCATGAAGATTCTCCATATGCATTGAAGAGCTTCTTCATTCTTTCAAGATGTTTTCTAAGGCTATTCTCAGGCTATCTTAATTAAATTGAAAGATGAAGTTAAGTGATTTGGAAGACATCTGCTCTCTTTGAGGGCATCTTAGAAAGTATCCTAGGCCCATATATAGCACACATAAGTCCACCTTACAGGCAGCAAAGAAGCGGAGCAGTGGGAGGATCTGTAGACTTGATGTTGGAATATCCAGTTAAACTCTTTTACTCTACTTATTGTTAGTTGTGTGGTCTTCAGCACACGACTTAACTTTCTCAGCTTAATTTTCCTGCTTTGAAAAATGAAAGTGCCTTGTAAACTAATCCATTGCTGTGGAGTCAATTCCAACTCATAGCAACCCTATAGGACAGAGTAGAACTACCCTATAGGGTTTCCATGGAGCAGCTGATGGATTCGAACTGCCGACCTCTTTGGTTAGCAGCCAGGCTCTTAACCACTGCACCACCAGGGATCCTTGTAAACTAAAGTGTTACACAAACGTAAGCATTATAATTACCATTGCTGATCTCATTTATTTTATCTTGATTTTATTAGTTTCACTTTCTGACTTGGGTTCTAATTTAATTCAGTGAGTCTCTGAAGGTAACAAAAAGCTCCAGTGTTGTAAGGTTTTCATATTTCCTTTTGCTATTACCATAACTGCTTATGTAGTGGATGGAGACGTGGATGGTTAAGATGCCAAGTTGAGGGGAATGGGAGACTGGCGTTGTTGCTGTTGTTTTTATATAGAAAGTTGATAAAACAAAACCAGTTTGTTGTTTTATGGAAAGTTGATAAAATAAATTGACTCAACATTTCAGAGCCTTGCTTTCCAAATGAATTCCAAGTCAACTTAAGTTTAAAAAAACACTTTATTCCCTTAAAATCCTCTGATTACTGAAAGCTACACTTAGAATGACTCACTCAGTAATTCCCTAGTCTTTAAGCCAAAACCATTTCCTATATGTGGGGGTTCTGGCATTTTTGCAGGTGTTCTTTATGGTACCCTTGAGGATGGTGTCTGGATGTTTGCTGACTTTCTAAACTTTTATGAAATATTAGATCAGGGAATTTCTTTGTGTAGAAATTTTCTAATAGTAGTCCTGAATTTTAACCCCTGTAAATTAATATCTAGCTTTGTTTTGCATTTGTTTTCTGTTGATAGCTAGATCATTGCTTGTTAAATATCATTCCTTTAAACATGAACCTTCCTATTAATTTTTAATTATTTTAGCTGTATCTTTGGCATCTTTTGAGAGGTCAAAAAATGCCATCAGAACATAAGGAGTTCTGCTTCCATTTCTAATTGGCAAAGGCCTTTTCCAGCCAAGATCAAATAACTTTCTGGGATTTACAGCTAATGCACCTTAACTCTGACAGTTGTGGTGAGTTTGACACAGTTTTACTGAAACAAATTTATCAAAGTCTCTATTAGATTGCTTTTTAATATCAACGTGTTAAACCTGCTTCCTGGGAGATGCTTTCCTATTCGTTCTCCTTGTGCTTTAAGTATAATTTTATGGTAGTTGGATAGAGAGTACAAAAGGCCATATCCCTTAGGGAGAGCTCTTTGCAAGTCTGAGATCCCACACTACTTATATTCAGAAAATATTTCTTGAGCACCTACTTTGTGTCAGATACTATGCCAGGATATTGTTGTTGTTGTTGTTAGGTACCATCCAGTTGTATCTGACTCATAGCAACCCTATGTACAACAGAACAAAACACTGCCCAGTCTTGCGCCATCCTCACAATCATTGTTATGCTTGATCCCATTGTTGTAGCCACTGTGTCAGTTTATCTTGTTGGGGTCTTCCTCTTTTTTGCTGACCCTCTACCAAGCATGATGTCTTTATCCAGGGTCTTGTCCCTCCTGATAACATGTCCAAAGTGCATAAGACAAAGTCTCGCCATCTTTCCTTCTGAGGTAGCATTCTGGCTGTACTTCTTCCAAGACAGATTTATTCGTTCTTCTGGCGGTCTGTGGTATATTTGATATTCTTTGCCAAACACCATAATTCAAATGCATCAGTTCTTCTTTGATCTTCCTTTTTTGTTGTCCAGCTTTCACATGCATATGAGGCAATTGAAAATACCCTGGCTTGGGTTTGGCACACCTTAGTCCTCAAGGTGACGTATTTGCTTTTGAACACTTTAAAGAGGTCTTTTGCAGCAGATTTGCCCAATGCAATACGTCGTTTGATTTCTTGATTGTTGCTTCCATAGACCTGTACCAGGATATATAGATTAAAAGACAGAGTCCTTCGCCTCAAGGATTTTACAGTCTAGCGGGGAAGCAGTTGTGTAAACAGATAAATGGTGCAGTGTAATAATTATCATTATTGCATTGTATACAGGGAGAAATGAAAGCATTAAAGAAGACAAACACGTTGGCCTCGGAAGTCATGGCTTTAAAGAGACAATTAGTTGTGTCTTAAGGGATGAGCAGGAGTTTGCCAGATGAATTTAGGGGACTTTGCCTTCTAGGCAGAGGAAATAGAATGTGCTGAGGCTTCAAGGTGTGCTGTATCGTGTGTGTGTGTGTGTGTGTGTGTGTGTGTGTGTGTGTGTGTGTGTGTGTGTGTGTGTATGTGTATGTGAGGGGAAGGGGAAGGGGGACGGGGAGGGACAGTTTAGTATATTTTGAGTACGTGTTGGGGAGTGGTGAGAGGTAACGTTTGACGGGTAGGCAGGGGCCAGTAAGGTTAAAATCCTAGTTCTGCAGTTGACTTGCTCTGTGGCGTTGAGATTAGGAATATGGATTATGCTTTAGTCTCCTGTTGTGTAAGAAGCCCATAGCATTGGAGGTTCACCTGCTACTCAAGTGGAATTATAAGTATTGCAGATGTGAAATGTTTCCTAATTGCTGAACAGTAAGAAAGGTCTGAGTACTGTGCCCACAAAATCACCATGGAAATGTATTAAAAACCTTCATGGGTATACTAAATTATCTTAGAAAAGTCTAGTGAAATGCCAGCAGTAGATATTATGTCATTTCTGGAGTTGATGACATTGATTTTTGAGGCTGATCATGCTCTTATGCTCAAGCAGGTCATCCTTTTGAATATTTGCTGTATGTTCTTTGTTGCTCAGTGCTTAGGATGCATATACAGGCAGTCGCAGCCACATCTTTCAGTACACTTTTTAGCAAATGTATTGCTTCCGTGCAAATCAGAAAACTACTTTCTTTCTGCATTTTTCATCTGATGTCATTATGGTATGTAGGTGGCAGCTTTCTTGGGCAGAGTTATCTATATAACTATTTGCCACATGAGTCATTGTCTGGTTCTGTTCTTCTACCTGAAAATGCCATCTTGGAAATAACATCATGCAATTGGTGACTGCAACACTTTACTCATTATAAACAATGCTGCTGCTTTGTATGTTATGTTGGTGGATTCCTCCTGTGCCATAGAGAAAGGATAAAGTGACATTGAGCCAGACTCAATTCCTCCAAATAATATCCCCCAAGAAAAAGATACCAAGCAAGAATCTGCGTAAAACACACATATGCTCTGCATTTTAAGGGTATAATGCCTAACTTTTGTTATTGTGTCTGCTTAAATCCTCATCACAGTTGTACTTCTGTTTGAGCAAGTGGCCAGTTTAAGTAGCTACTAACTTTGAAAAAGTTCTATATTGATCCCTGGAATGTGACAGTTCAGCATACCACATTGAAAAGGTAGGAACCAAGTCTGTGTAGAGCAGAACACCTTAAAATTCAGTCTTCCAAATTCCTCTATTATTAAAGCAATATTCCTGTATTGGTTAATTTTTTGGATCGCACTTTGCCACAATCGACATGTCCACTAGAATGCAAGCTCCATGAGGGCAGGGCTTGGTGCCTGTTTTGTTCATTACAGTATTCTCAGCACCTAGAACAGTGCTTGCCACAGAGCAGACTCTTGGTACGTATTTGTTTGAATGAATGACTTTCGTCATCTGTAAATCTTTTGTTTCTTAGTATAGGAAATCTTTTACAGGGTACCTGAATAGTTGTTTAATTCTTAGGAAAGCTATTCGTTTTCTGAAAAATAAGTTTTAAAATATGTTTTGAAGGCTGTACCAGTCAAGGACCAGTCAGGGAAACAGAAACCACTGTAGGTCTTATAAGCAGATAGAATTAATATAGGGAATAGTTTACATAGGTGATTTAAAAACCAAGAAGCTAACTGGGGACTGGTGAGGCAACCCAGAAATTAGCAACACCTGGGAGCTGCTGTGCTCCTAAGGACAATAGAAAGTGCTGGTGTCACCAGAGGCCAGAAGCCTGAGCCATCTGATGTGAGCTAGAATAATGGAAAGAGGAGCCGTCTAGGTGGCAGCTGGATCCTAGGCAGAGTAAGAGAGGGAGCATTACCCTGGCTTTTCCCCTCCTCCTGCCCTTTATCCCCGCCAGTGCCTCCTTTTGACTTACTCAGAAGTCAGTTCACAAGGGAGCCTGGGAAATGTAGTTCCCTGTGGTACAGAGAGGAGCAAGGGTAGGTCTGAGCACAAACAGGGAAATGCGCAAAAGCACTTCCAAAGTCTCCAGGATGTAATTCTTTCCCCTTAGGATAGTTGAATTGTTTTGGACAAGAGATAAGAGAGTTATTTCTGGCAGATACAACCTCTCGTGCTTCTAAAAGATCTTAACTGTTGCTGAAACAATGATTAGTCCTAGGAAGTAATGTAACAGCTCAGTTGTAGCCTATATAATTAGGATGTGTGACTAGGCAAATTGGCTTTTGTTGAACGTACATTTGACTGTTGGCTGCTGCCAGGAGCGATTTATCGTTTGGTTACTCAGAAAATAAGTTCCCACCCTGTCAATTCTGGGAAGCCTTAGGCATGATATCTACACCTTGTCCCGCCTATGTCTGGACAACTTGAATCAGTGGCACATAAGATGTACAAAGAGAATTTTGACAATTGTAGCCTTAAAACATGATGCAGGTTAGTCTTTCCTTAATCTTTAGAGTAATTGTGGTGGAGCTAATATTTCTTGTGCCACATACCATTTTAATTAATCTTGACAACTCCCCTCCCCACCCCCTCCTCCCCCTCCTCCACACCAGCTTCAGATATAGGTTGGCACTAGGTGAGTGAGGTGAGATCACTGAATCTATTTTCTTCTACACTGGACCTGAAAAGTATTTTGTGTTTTAAGGGATGTTGCTGCTGCTCAGTTCAAAGGCAAAGCTTCCCAAGTTGTTTCGACTAGTTTTCTTCTTGATTATAAAAATGTTTAATAAGTTATATGGTACAAGTGCAACACTTTCTAGAATTGCTTTTTTTGTCAATCAGGTCACCTGTATTTGGGCCCTTGCTACATTAATGGAACGGAAGTAGGCCAGCAAAGGTTTTAGTAGAGTGTGAGTATGTTTGCTTTTAGGCTATTTTCTGTGAAATCCACAGATAAGGGACTCTTATTGAGCAAAATTATAAACTGTAAAAATAGTTATGGTTTCATTGTTTTTCTCTTTTCCCCTAGATTAACTTCTTGGCAAGTTATATTTATATCTCTGTGAAGTTGTATTTCACAGATGTAATTAAAATGTAATTTTGTGTTTCAAAAAGTGTACCAGACTGCTTCTCAGAGTACCAGTTCTTTTCAGCCAGTCCATTTCAAATTAAGAGGTACATCAATGCATTTTTGAAGCCTCACGTTTAATGATCATAATATTCTGCTACTGTATTTGATGCTTCCATTTCCCAAACTTCCTCCTTCCCTACCCTCCTCTTCTGGATCCTGTATTTCCCAACAGGCTTTGTGGATGCTGGTCCATTGATGGCTGAACAGCAGGTCCCCCCCAAGTGGAAAACCCCGAGATGAGCCAAATCTACCTTCAACTGTGGCCATCCATCAGTGTAAGGTTGCCCTAATGGTTGTCTTCAGTTTGTCCAACTCCTTCCTCCACCCCATGCTCCTCATGTGTGGCTGAAACTTGCCCTGACATCCCACCCTTGTAACATTTCAATGGGTAGTAATAGGATTTTATTTATTGCTGCTGCTTTTCATTTTCAATTAATGTTAAGTAATTGTCTGACAATTTTTTATTGAGCATAGCCCTCTTTCCCCCACATTTGTATATTTCGTATGGGTATCCTGGTTTGCTTTTCATTACATACAGAATACAATTTAAAAAATACTGTCTTTCAAAAGCCCACTTGGAGAATGCTTTATTAACATTTTTTTTTTTACTTCAAGTCTGAGCTTTCAAAAAGAAATTTCTTTATCTGAAGTAATGAGAACTGAGTCCCCTCAGGCTTCATGTCCTTTTTCCTCACCCAAAAACCAAATGTGTAAACGTTCTCATTTTATTACACACTGAAAATAGTAAAGCAGAAGGAGAGAGACGTATCCTCAACTGTAGCTGATAAGCCCATCCTAACTTAGTGCTTTTGAGCAAATAGAGCACCTTTTGTTTTCCTTTTTTCATATAGCCACACTGTTTCTGCAGCAGTTGCTAGTGATGGAAAGACCATAAGTCCCCAAGCCTCTAACCCAGAACTTACATCTTTAAATGTGGGTTTACGTGTTAAGCCTACAACATTACTTCACTTTATTTGTCTGAAGTACACATGCAGTGAATTTTTTGTTTAACTTCTTCCTCTTTTCTTGCCTCACTGGAAGTCCCCGAATGTGTGGATTTAGAAATGAGTTCTCTAGTGTTTCTAGCTTTGAGTTAAAAAATGTGTCTTAAGATGTACTTTTTAGGTGGTTGTTTTTATTCTTATACCTTTGAAAAATAATTTCTTAAAGAATTTTCTATGTGAGCTGATAACATCTTATGCTATAGTATAAAGCTCAGAGTGGTGGTGGCTGTCACGATGCCTTTTTTTTTCGACACAGCCCTCAGACGAGAAATAGGAAGGAAACTCCCTGTTCTTACCATGGTGCTTTTTTCTTTCCCCCAAATAGCTGTAAACAACAGAGCTAATGGAAACCAATTTAAGTGTGGCTGCTGATTTGAGAAAGAAAGAATTAAAAGATTCAAGCCATTCTCCTGTGCTGAAAAGCATTTTTACTAAAAGAATAGCTGTTTGGAACTGGGGTTGAGCTTTGTCTCTCTGAAGGTAGGCATAAGAAGTTTGGTTAGAGTAACTGTTTCAGACTAAGGTGAAATTCGAGAAAATTTTTTTTCCTACAGTGTGACTACTGTATTAACGTTCTCAGCTCGTACATGATAGAAAGGAAGCTTCACTAAATGCAGCACTGGAATAAAAAAGACTGCAACTCAGCTTCTCTTCTGAGCACTCTGACTTGGTTCTGAGCCTAATCTGTGAACAGAAGCAGCCTGACACAAGTGACTCAAGTCAAAGGTCCGAAATTATGGGCAGAGTGAAAATAGGGCCCAGTTTCATTAGGCTTCTCATGCATTTAAGAAAGAAAAAAAAAAAAGAGAGAGAGAGATTTATTGCCATAGGAACAGACTCCCAGACTAGTTTTTTCTCTTGTGGGGTTTTGGGGAGAGAGGAGATGAAGTCCTTGTGTTATCATTAAATTATCATTAAATGCTGTTTCTTTAAAAAACAAAAACTTTATTTTTACTGATTATGAAAATTGTCCATATTCATGATAAAAGTCATTGGAAAGTATGAAAAAGTATAATGATGCAAAAGATATTTTACCATAATCCTTATCATCCATTTTTTTAGTTGAGCTTATATGATAATTTTACATTATTATTTTTGCTTACCATTTACCATAACCATTTCCCATGCCATTAGAAACATTTTAAGACCTTTACTGTATTTCATCATTTGAATATATCATTATTTACTTAACTCTTGCCCAACTGTTGGGAATTTTGGTTTTCAGTTTTTCAGTATTATAAATAATGCTGCAATGCAAACTTCTGTGTTGCTGTTAGATTGATGGGTTATTTATGTGTTCAAATTTGAGTAGTCATGTGGGCCCCCTAACTTTTATTTTACTTTTTAATTTTTTTATTGTTGTAGTTTAAATGAAATTTACATTTCAAGTTAGTCTGCTGTACAAAAATTTATATATACATTGTTATGTGACCCTAATTGTTCTCCCCATTCTGTGACAGCACACTCCTCCTTTCCACCCGATTCCCTGTGTCCATTCAGCCAGCTCCTAACCCTCTCTGCCTTCCCATCTCACCTCTGGACAGAAGCTGCCTGTTTAGTCTCTTGTATCTACTTGAGCTAAGAGGC